TCCTGCTGGGGCATTCAAAAGATTTAAGAGGCATTTTTCTTACTTGAGCTTTAGCTCGGTTGTGATCCAGACGAGTCAAGCAACTGAAGTTCTCCTTCGGGATGGATGGGGCCGACTTGGAGGCAGTCAGGCAGTTGGTATTGGCTGGGTTTCCCACAACGATAACCTAGGATGGATGGGAGATACAGAAGATTATAGACTGTACACTTTTTAACTGAACTATCTTAGGATTTGATTGTAAAATGTGTAGCAGGTAGCCTTGTATCAATCTTATATGAACTGAACATATATAAACATTTTCCTTTTGCTTTGTTAGGGTTCAGCCTGACTACTGAAAATATTTTCTTAATAGAGCCACTTTTATTTAGATCACTTTCAAAATAAAAGTGGCAGTGTTAAGATTTTAAGTACATGTCTTTTTTTTTTTTGGAGAGATTTTTGCTATAGGGCGTGTGCGCTCGCCAGACAGAGAGAGACATAGAGACAGAAAGCGAGAAATCTATGTCTTTTAATTTCATTTCTGTGCCAAAACAGAGACAGTACACTTATCCGCCACAAAAAATAACCGGAGTATTCCACTATTAGTGACTGTTCTCCTGAAACAAGGGTACTTTGTGAGGTAGATTTACCATGCAAGCTGTATTCCAACTCTAAGCAACCTGGATTTTAGTAATCTGAACAACCCTGTCATGTTTTATTAAGAAACTTTTGAGTATTTACTCAACCCACTTCTCTTTCTGTTAATAATTACAGAAAATAGAAGTTAACTATTTGTAACCAAGTTCACAGAATACAAAAATGCAGATATCTATGTTGTATCACAAGTAGATTACAGTTGGCAACTTTAAAAATATCATAGAGGGACCAGCAGTTAGCGTAATGGCTATGTCGCTGGACTCCCATGTAGTTGACCGTGGTTCGCATCCCGCACCCGGTGGCTTAGACTCACGCCGGGCATGTGTGCCCAAGATCCTGAGAGGAGAATGGAGGAGGGATTGTGGTGTGGCCATCCCCCCTGGGGGGCGATTTCTCGCTTTCTGTCTCTCTCTCTGTCTAGCAAGCGCACGTGCCCTGTAGCAAAAACCTCTCCAAAAAAAGAAAAAATAAATCTCATAGAATATTCTTTACCTTTTTTATTAAGTCAGGAAAAGGAGATGTATTTAAATCAGTTAAACCTCTAGCCTACAAGCCTTTTTTGCTGTTACAATTAAGTTCTTTTTTTTTTTTATAAATAATTATTTTATTTAACTTTAATTATTTATTCATTGTTTATTTCAATTTGACCAGAGAGGGACAGAAGGAGAGAGAGAGGGAGACAGAGAGAGAAAATGAGAAGGCAAGCTGCCAGGTCTGGGACTTGAATCATGGTCAGTCATGTGGAAATCCAGCGCCTTTAACTACCACACCACCTGCCAGCCTCTGAGACAATTAAGTTCTGGTTAACTGACAGTTCATTGGTAAAAGGTGACTTATATTAACAGCAAGACAAATTTAGGAACTAAAATAAATAGCTTAGACAAAAAGAAGTCATGCCAACTGATTCTTCAAGGAACAAGTATGTTAAGGACACCAGAAAGTTATCTGCCTTCTTTTTTAGGTTTAAGAAGTAATATCAAGGGGCCAGCAGGTGGCATGATGGTTAAGGCACTGAATCCCCACATGGTTGACTATGGTTCAGGTTGGACCATACAAATAAATAGATGATTTATTTAAAAAAAAAAATGAATATCAGAGTCCCATGTCACAGTAGTAGGCAAAACATTTTTGAGTACTCTGCATATAAATTTCTAAAACGAGACCAGAGTTTGGCTCCTGGCCCAACCTAGACAGGCTGGATGCATCTGTATTTCTAGCTAACTGGGTGACTGGGATTGGAGGATAGTGACATGGTAAGAGCTTGTCAAAAATATTTCTCTTTCTCTGGTCAAAAAGCAAGTAAACAAAACCTCAGAAAATAAAAACTCCAATAACTTAGAAAGGGAAAGCTTATCAAACAAAACTTTGATTTACTGACCAGTGTCTAGAACTGGAAAAAAGGGCAAACAATTCTGTTTTCACTTCAATGCTGAAAGCAGAAGTTTTAAATGCTAATAATGTAAAACATCATGAAATTCAATGCTGGTCACCTTAACTGACTTCTTGGCATATTTGTCCAATGCTGCTCCCTGGCTTTTGAAGATTTTCACATTTGCTTTCAGTAAATCTTTCCTCTCCATGCCTTCTCTTCTTGGCATGGAGCCCACAAGAATGGCCACATCCAGGTCTTTGAAGGCAACGTCTTCTTTATCTGTCGCAATGACATCTGTAGACATAGAGATAAATAAACACAGTTATTAAACACTAAGGTCTAGGGAACAGCAGGTGGCATGGTGGTTAAGATGCTGGACACTCCCACATGGCCGACCGCGGTTCGAGCCCTGGATCTAGTGGCATGTTTTCCCACTTTCCTTCCTCTCTCTCTCTCTCTGGTCAAATTAAAATAAATGAAAAAATCATTCTCAAAAAAAAAAAATCAAGGTTTGAAGTTTTTCTCCTCATAACTGAACATATTCACTAATTCTTTTATTTATAACAAACTTTTACATATCATACTGATAAAACATTTTAGGGGCCTAAGAAAGGACAATAATTTAACAACCATAAAGCTGATCTCCTTGGTTGACTATATAAAAGGCCATCACTGGCCTGCTGTGGCTATGCAGTAAGAATGTAATGCTACAAAATGCTGAGGCCAAAGGAACAGGTCCCAGGTTCACGTCTCAAGGTCTTCCGTGCATGTCAAGATGCACACATGTGCTCATGATCCTGGCTGGCTGAGGTGAGATTGGGGCATGAAGACCCTGTTGGGGGCACTTCTCTTTTACATACAAAAGAAAGAAACTTAAAACAACTTTTAGGCCAGTGAACTTATGTCAGTCAAGGTACAACAACCCCAAAATAAGACTAACCAACTTCTAGGGCAGCATAGAGCTATGGAGGATATCCTGAAGAAGCAAAACCATTTTCCATTATGATGCTACTATTACCATCTTTATACTTGAAATAACAACACAATATACTTAATTAGTATAATAAGTTATATATCGACATGTTGGGGAAAAAAAGTATAGTCCTTTATCTGACACTGGTTGTTTCTCATTCACTCCTTATTTATTCTTGGTAAACATCTTTTTTTTTTTTTTTGAGAGGTTTTTGCTGTAGGGTGCGTGTGCTTGCCAGAAAGACAGAGAGAGACAGAGAGACAGAAAGTGAGAAATCTTCCCCCAGGGGGGATGGCCACATTGCAATTCCTTTTCCTCCATTCTCTTCTCAGGATCTTAGGCACGTACGCACACGCGCCCAGTGTGAGTTTGAGCCACCAGGTCCGGGACTCGAACCGTGGTCGACTACGTGAGAGGCCAGTGACATAGCCACTGTGCCAACTGCTAGCCCCGATCTTTTTTTTTTTTTTTTTAAGTTAGTTTATTTATTTTTTCCATGTGAGACAGAGGGACAAAGATAGGCAGAGACACTCAAAATAAGATGCCCTCCCATTATGATTCACCCCCAGTCACAGCAGGCCTGTGCATGTGCATGCATGCCCACCGTGCTCTAGGAGGTCCTGGGATGTGAACCCAGGACTTATGGGTCCAGTTGTGTCACAGCATGGCCCTTTTTGCTATAGACTTTAATAAGCAGTTGTAGCTCAAAAAAACAAAAATAAAATACTTGTCATAAAATAATTTCTAATTGAGAGCCTTTAACAAAAATATATCTACTTTTTGAAAGATAAAATAATATAAAATCCTATCTCCTCTGCCCTCCAACTCACCTTTCAAGAGGGGAAGGGCACAGTCTTGCAGTTCCATGAGGACACCATCCAGGACACCCATCATTGGGGTGATATCCAACAGCACCAGAATTATGGGCTATCAAATAGTAAACACAGTAAAATGTTAGTGTCATTTAAATAATTTAGTCACAAAAAATGTCCTTTTGAGTTGTTTTTTTGATAGGTATATGTATATAACTCCCATTAGTCATAATTATTATTTTAGGAGGTCAAGCTCTAATAACATGCCACTTTTGTTAAAAGGAATGCTATAGGGCTAGCCAGGTGGTGTGGTAGTTAAGAGGGCTGGATCCCATATGGCAGACTGTGTGGTTCAAGTCTCAGACCTGGACCTAGTGACTTGAAAAACACACTGGGCATCTGTGTGTGTGTACCCCAAATCCTAAGAGGAGAATGGAGAAGGGACTGCAGCATGGCCATCCCGTCAGGGGGTGATTTCTCACTTTCCCTCTCTTTCTCTGTCTGTCTTTTGCTGGTATGTGTACTTACCCTATAGCAAAAAAGAAAACTTAAAAGCAATGTTTGCGAAGAGACTCTAGTAGGGGGAGAGAGAGAGAGAACTCCAGTGGGGTGTGGTCACACTGCATCTCTTCTCCATTTCTTCAGATGGTTGGAATTTTTGGGTACTTATACATTGGCACTTAGCATATTTTTCAAGCTGGTGGGGTTGGGATATAAGCTGTAGGTTGGCCATGTGGGATCCAGCTTCCTTAAGGGCTAGGCTATAGAGTAGGCACAATAGCTATACATTTGATTTTTCCATGAGGACACCATCCAGGACACCCATCATTGGGGTGATATCCAACAGCACCAGAATTATGGGCTATCAAATAGTAAACACAGTAAAATGTTAGTGTCATTTAAATAATTTAGTCACAAAAAATGTCCTTTTGAGTTGTTTTTTTGATAGGTATATGTATATAACTCCCATTAGTCATAATTATTATTTTAGGAGGTCAAGCTCTAATAACATGCCACTTTTGTTAAAAGGAATGCTATAGGGCTAGCCAGGTGGTGTGGTAGTTAAGAGGGCTGGATCCCATATGGCAGACTGTGTGGTTCAAGTCTCAGACCTGGACCTAGTGACTTGAAAAACACACTGGGCATCTGTGTGTGTGTACCCCAAATCCTAAGAGGAGAATGGAGAAGGGACTGCAGCATGGCCATCCCGTCAGGGGGTGATTTCTCACTTTCCCTCTCTTTCTCTGTCTGTCTTTTGCTGGTATGTGTACTTACCCTATAGCAAAAAAGAAAACTTAAAAGCAATGTTTGCGAAGAGACTCTAGTAGGGGGAGAGAGAGAGAGAACTCCAGTGGGGTGTGGTCACACTGCATCTCTTCTCCATTTCTTCAGATGGTTGGAATTTTTGGGTACTTATACATTGGCACTTAGCATATTTTTCAAGCTGGTGGGGTTGGGATATAAGCTGTAGGTTGGCCATGTGGGATCCAGCTTCCTTAAGGGCTAGGCTATAGAGTAGGCACAATAGCTATACATTTGATTTTAGTTCTTGGGAAGCTAAAAAACAGTAACTGGAATGAAGGAAGTACCAAGTATCTTGGGTCAACAGACTGAATAAATAAACCCTGAATAAATAAATCATTTAGGAAAGGATTTTAGTGTATATTAATCAGACCTGATGAACTAGAGGGTGCCTGTTTCCAGTGGGGAAACAGACTTTCTGTCTATGTTGGTTCTAAAGAATATGAATAAGGAAGTGCTGATTTAGCAACTTTCTTTTCCACATTACTTTTTTTCCACAATAGTTAAGACCACCAGTGTTATCTTCAATTGACTGACACCTGCAGGTTGCATCAAGTCAACCAAATACAGTATATGGGATACTGAGTTCTGATATGCAAAATGTTTTCAATGCTTAGAGGGGAAAATATAAGTAGTTTTCTAGCTTCCATCAACAGCAATGTGCCTATTACATTTTTGGGGATTATTCACACCTTCAGTGTTTCATAATTTGTCTGCAACTATTAATAAATATTGGGATTTGTTAACAATATTCTTGCTCTAATGACTTAAGACTTACAGATTCTTGCTCCTACCTGGTCTTTACCGAAGACAGATCCATTTCCAATGCTGTACAGCAGTGAATAAGCAATCTGACCAGCTGCTCCAGTCACAAGGACTCTGATTGGTTCAGACTGTAATGAAAAAGACCCATTGACATTGTATTAAAAAGTATTATTTTACTCTGGACACTTAGGACTTGTATCTACAATAAGACAACCACAGACTTTAAAAGTGAATTTGCAACTTTATAGTCTCTACATCTGGCTGAGTAGAAAGCTAATTTACTGCTTTGTTCCAGTAAGTATAGCATACACAAATCAACTGAACAACTTATGGAGCATGTGTGCTTTGGCTCTTATCTGTGTGGTATTTTGGATTCTCATATCTGTGTGGTATTTTGGATTCTCATTGCATAGGGAACTGGAGCTGGAAGTGTTATCCTGGTTTAACTTACATAATCTTATCTACCTTTGGGGGATTTTACCACTAAAATAGATCTAACAGTGGTGATGTGCATGTTATATGGCAAAACAAACCCTGGTCTCCACTAGAGCCTCACAAATACAAGTACCCACTCCCAATGCACAACAGAATCCTTTACACTGGGAAAATGGGTTAAAATTTTCTATTTACATTGAGTCGGAACATTTAAAGTCAACAATTAAAAATGTTTCAACTTGACCAGAGGGGAAAAAAGTACTTTTCATTTAAGGAGGAAAAAAAGAGAAAATGATAATATCTGGATTATAACAAAATTTATTAAATTATAATAAATAACAGCAATGTGTAGTGACAGTTAACTTGATTCCAAAAGAAAACTATTCTCAAAAGGGAAGAAGGGAAGAAATACAAAGAGTATTACAACAGCTTATTGGTAGCCTTACAGATCCCAATAGGCCCTGAAGAAGATAAGACATTAAGGATGAAAATAATAACTGACATTCAAAGTGATGACCCTCAGTCATTAAAAAAAGGTTAAACTAAGCTCAGAGAATTTTAAATATAGACATATTTCTATTTAAAACAGATGAGGGACCACAGATGGGATGGTGGTTAATGTGTTAAGACTCCCACACAGCTGACCGTGGTTCAAGTTCTGGATCCAGTGTCTTGAAAATCATGCAGTGTGCCTGCGCATGCCTGACAAAAATCCCGAGAGGAGAACAGAGGAGAAGGAATTGCAGTGTGGCCATTTCCCCTGAGGGGTGAGTCCTCATTTTCCCTCTCACTGTCTCTAACAAGTATGCATGCCTTATGGCAAAAACTAAAATAAATAAATAAATAAATAAAAGGTCAAACAAAAATTTCTGGGTAAGTCAATCAGGGCAACTGTTTCTGTTCCTGACAATGGTGAACGTAATTTAAAAATTTACTTTATTTTATTTATTATTATTATTATATTTTTCAACTTGACCACAGAGAGATAGAGGGAGGTCGAATAAGAAAGCAAACCACCAAGTCTGGGACTCAGTCTGAAGTCAGCCATGTGGGAGTCTAGTGCCCTAACCATCATGCCACCTACCGACCCTTAAATTTACCTACTGACCCCACCCACATGAGACTCGTGGTCCACTGAACTGAGTAGAGAGGGAAGTGTCTGACTTTTTATATTTAGAATTCCCTCTTCCTTCTAATTCATGCCTCTGGGATAGGAGGAGAGATGACTTTAAACTGTCTCTGAAGGTTGGCAGCACTCAGCAATTTGGTTCCCATAGTCGTCAAAGAAAAACAAATCTCAGGAAAAGAAGTGTCAACTGTTGCAGGGAAATGAATCTGGTCATAGTAGACCATATACATTTCTTCCTTAGAGATGTAACCAGGATGAGAGTAGGACAAAAAGTGAGAAGAATATTGAGAAAGCTTCTCCCTGACCTTCTGGGTGTCTTTAACATCTTTACCAACTTTCGCCCCTGGTGTTAATGACTCCTAGACATTTCAAGTAAGCCAACTAAAAAAAAATGTATTTATTTAATTTTATTTATTTATTCATTTATTTTAATTTGACCAGAGAGAGACAGAGAGAGAGAGAGAAAAGGAAAGTGAGAAAAGAAGCTGCCAGGTAGTAATTCAACTGTGGTCAGCCATGTGGGGAGTGTCCAGTTCCTTAACCACCACCCCACCTGCTGGTCCCCCAAGTAAGCCATTTAATAAAATACATATTTATATTCTATAATAAACTTTAAATTATAAATAGCACTAAAACTTATTGTATATGGTTATTTTCTATTATATAAAAACCTATATATTTATCTTCTGATTTGTCATTATTAGGAATCATTTCTATTTATATAAAAAAATACTTCACTAGCCTATGTGTTTTTCCATTCTGTCATTTCTTTCCCTTCCCCTGAATTCAAGTAGAGTAGATGTGGAAAGGACTAGAGGAAGAATTTATTCCTCTCTCCCCCTTTAGAATGAAAGCTCCTTTGTCTATTTCATTTACTGCTGTATACCAAAGGCCTAGAATGAAACCTGGCACATGGCATGAACTGTATTATTTGCTGGAAGAGTATCTGAGTCTTGCAAATACTGTTACCAAAAAGACAGAAATGTCTTTGGAAGCATACTTAATGTGCTTAAAATACTAACATAAGTTTAAATATTACAGATATGTTTATGTTGATAAGGTTGAAAACTTAGTGACCACAAAATAGGTCTAGTTATAGTTAGCACAATTATTAGTGTCACTAGTGCTAATGATAAAGTCTTACCAACTAACTACTGCTGATCTGTTATCTCATTTAACTCATTTCTTAAATGATACACTGTTGAAGCTCTAGCATGTATGTACTCAGTACTATTTTAGGCCAGGGAATTCATTAGTAAACCACATGAAGGTAAAAGTGGATAAACCAGTTCTCTAAAATGTGGGCTGGACAGGCAGAGAGAAGTAATCAAGATCACCTTTGGTGCTGGACCTCCTGGGTTTAAGTCCTGGTGGCACAACTCATTAGCTGAATGTTACTGAGCAAGTTACTTAATCACTGTCTTGTGCCCCCATACTAAAATGCAAATAATAATAGTGGGTGCTTAATAAATAGGGCAGTTTGTTTTTTTGTTTTTTTGTTTGTTTGTTTTTAAGCTTTTGCCATAGGGTACGTGCACTCCCCAGAGAGAGATAAAGTGAGAAAGGACCCCCACAGGGGGAATGGCTATGCAGCAAACCCTTCTCCTCCTGGGATTTTTGACATGCATGCACACGTGCCTGGAGTGAGTTTCAAGCTACCAGGTCCGGAACTCGAACCAAGGTTGGCCAGAAGGTGGCACCTTAACCACTATGCCACCTTCTGGCCCCTAAGTGGGTAGTTTTTAAGGATTGAGGTAACTTACAAAGCATTAAGATAGCAGGTAGCAAGTATTATAATTATAGTTGTCAACGCAGACTTTTTCTTCTAGGGACTCTTACAGCCTGTGATTGCTATTTTTATGTCCTACGCTTTACAAGACTGTGACTCACACACACACACACACACACACGCACACACACAGACCATCCTTTTTATGCCAGACAGTGAGAAAGAGAGACAGACAGACAGAAAACTTTCTAATTGGGCCTAGTCATGCTGCAATCTCTTTTCCTCTAATTCTCCATGGCTGGGACTCAAACCTAAGTTATCCATATGGGATCTGGCTTCCTCTTGCTACAGGGCCAGCTTGAAGACCCCTTGAAAGCAGTCTGCCTTTGTCTCAAATCTGTACTCTTATATATAGTGTTCCAGAAATATTTGTTGAATTAATGAAGATAAGGGTAAGAAAAAAGGTAAATGAATACTACTTCAATATAAAGAAAGCTGGATAAAAAATGAAGGGGAAGTGAATTTCATTATCTGTAAAGTTTAACTTCCCAGAGAGAAGGGTTCATGGTTAGAACAGAAAAATTCAGTGGACTGTAGGAGCTAATTTTAGTTTAGTAAAAATGTATTCATGGTATCAGTCCTCAGTGAAGGAGTTGTGGCCAACTATCGGCCTAGTTCAACCTCAGCAGATTCTTCCCTGTGTCTTTGGGTAAATTATTTTCTCAGGTAGATAATTCCATCTTGTTAAGAGTAGTATGAAGCCTCGTCAGTACTTGAATGTTTGATGATGAAATAGGGATAGAAAGAGCATATCTGGTTCTTTCTGCTCTTGTGCAACATTGCAATAGAAAAGCAGGAGGGTGGAAGAGTCCTGCTGACTTTTCACAATGTTACAGTGAGAGCGCGGGTTACTATTCTTTGCTCAGATTTCTGGGCAGTCAGCCAAGATCCAGGAAGGAATGTCTTTGCTCTTGGTAGGGCAGTAATGACCTTCCTGCAGATGCAGGCTCTATATATTTTGCGTATATGCTGAAGTCTCAACTCAAAAGCTTGAATTTAGGTGCTCCTTTATGATAGTCCACAAAAATATGCACATATTCATTTTTTTACTTTCTCATATATACATATACTTTTAACTGACGTATTTCTGGAACACAAAAAAACAAGCAATATCATTCATATTCCTTTGTAACAGTTTATTCTTCTCTCATATGAAACAAGCAAATAATTCCCCCTTTATAAAACTGTACTGAATTGGCTTAAAACATGCTTTTTTTCTAAGTCATGATTGCTTATATGCTCTCTTCAGGAGCGAGGACTGAATCACCTGCAAGTTCGCTGTAAACGCCAGCAAAGTGACAGAATGATTCTTCTTCAAGGGCTGTCTTAAGTGCTGAACCCAGGGGACCTCTTGAGGGTGAGCAAAAACAACAGCAAGAATTGAGGGCCTGGAATCTCTTTGTGACCTTGGAAAAATCATTTGATGTCACCAGGCTACATTTAAGATGAGATGAAATAATCTGCAAATTCTCTTCCAGTTTTAGAATTTCAGTATCCTAAACTGCAAGTAAAGAAGTCATAAGCAATCTACATGCTGGTAACATAGTTAAGTTTATATTTGCAGTTTGAGTGTGTATCTTCACCCAGAACTTTAGGTACTAAAAAATAAAACTTCGAAAAGACTTGATAAAGGTATGGCATGGTAAGGTAAAACAGAGTGAAAGACTTTTGGGGCAAACAGTTGGGTGACCTTGAACAAATCATCTTCTCTCTGGGTGTAAATAAACTCATTTTTAAGATTTAAAGTATGTGTGTGTGGGGGTGTTGTCAAGATGATCTTTAAAAGGTCTCATCCAGTTCTAAAATGACAAAAAAGCCCAAGGTTCTTTGACAAGTATTTCTGCTTTCCTGCTAAGATTAATTAGGGCTGAAACCACAATTTAAACGACCAGCTATGTTACCTAACAAAAGAAATAGAAAACCTAGGCTTAATATGGTCCCCACCGGCCCTCTTACAAAATTAGGGAGATTAATGCCCTTGTCTAAAAACATGTCTTTTCAGGTTCTGGGAAATTTCCATTTCCTTCAAACATTTCCACTCACGACCCATTTTAGCATTTTGAGATAAAAAAGGAAAAACAGTTCCAATTATAAATACAAGTATTGAATCAATTTCTCTTGTCTGATGGCAAATGTCACCTTCAAACAGTGCGCAGGTTATTCCAACGTCAGAGTTCCTCCCTCCCTCTCCCCCCTCTCCCTTTCAGCAGAGACAAGATGTCCTGTGACAAGACAGTTACACTGTGTTACATTTAAAAAGTAGTGTTTCTAGAAGTCAATACATACAGATCAGTAAAAAATATATGCACTAGTTATTTCGCTAGAGATGCCGTCACTTCAAAATTTGCTGGCATAAGAAAAGGAGATGAATGAAGAGGTTTTAAGTAACATTTTGTGAAATTAGATATGGCGGAAACGCGTCTCCTGAAAATGTAGATCGTAATCTGATCACTTAGTAAGCACTACTTTTACAGTAGAGGGCCTTTTGCTTTCAACGGCTTTGTGACAAAAGCCCTTAAAAACACTATGGGATCAAGAGGAGAAAATGAGATTAGAACCCAACCCTCTCCCGCGAGAGCAAACCGTACCGTTTTATAAAACCCCACACCGTCCTTCGGAGAAAATCCGCAACCTCCTATTTGGGCCTCACTTCATGCAGCAGGATTAAAATCGCGCCGGCTCAAGGGCAGCAATTTCTCCAGAGTCTTTCTAACGGACCCCCCGGGTAGAAATCAACCCCTTCCTAATTACTGGGTTATTGCGACAAATACATGGTGCTTTTTAAACTGCGCGAAGGACAGCCCCTGGCACAGCCGCCTGCCAAAACTCTTTCGAGCTCAAGGAATCCACAATAGGGCGCGACGGCCATAGGTGTGCACAGCCGGGGTCCTATACTCACCATGATTGGTAACCGCACGGCCAATTTCACCACCTGCAAAAGGAGTACCAGAGAACCAGGTCACCTCTACCACGGAACAGACTCGGGTAGGTGAACGGTGCTAGCAAAAAAAAAAAAAAAAAGCTCGGGTCCCGGCCGCGGCGCCCTCTGGGAACTGTAGTCCACGCTGTTCTGATCTGGCGCACTCTCCAAAATACTTTTCTCCACGTGCTGGACTACACTTCCCGGGAGCAGCGTCTTCTCACGCCATTCTCCTTTCGCTCGTCGCCTATTACAAAGTAGTCCTCCCACAGGGCGAGCCTCTGTGATTGGTGGGCGACTCCCCGCGGATGGTTTGGGATTCGAGGGACGGACTTGCCTCTTGGCGCCCAGCAATTGGTGGGCGGGAAGGCGTGAGAACCTTGAGGGAGGGGAGGCGGACTCCTGAGCGACATCCCCCACAACACGCGCGCAGCTGAGGTTTTATTTTACCCGAGGACGAGCGTGGGAGGCAAAGAGACCTTCCGCTGCGTAAGGCTGGATCGACCCGGAAACAAAATCTTTTAAAAAAACCTCTTCGCACTCTGGAGGGCGGGGAGAATTGATGTGTGGGGAAGACAGGACGGCTTCGCAGGTTGCTAAGCGACGAGGCGGAAGCGCGCGCACACCCGGCCGCCTGGGAGCACCTGGGGGAACTGTGGTGGCCGGGGCTCCGAGCCCAGGACACCCCACGGCGCCCGCGCACTCTGGGGTGCCGCTACCCTTGCGCTGGGAAGCCTCCGCCCGAATAGTGTGTCACGGTGACCAGGCGAGGGGTTTGCGAGGACTCCCTCCGCGGCGACCAGGGTCCACGCATCTTTCCCGCTCTGGACGCAGGTGAGCCTTGGCCTGAGGGCAAAGGGATTTTAACGTTAGTGTCTGGAAAGAGGTTCTTCGCCGTCCCTCAAACACCGGGGCGTCGATGTACCAGGCGGGTACCCGCAAGCTCTCCAGTCCCTTCTCTGCGCTCAGTATGAGGGGCGTGGTGCCTTGAAGTTCGTGCCTCCTCCCGGTGGTAGAAATATTTATTGGGTGCCTACTTTGTGGATGTGACGTCTTCCCTTTCAAGAGCTCACAGTCCATTCTCAGCCCTCCCTGAATGCCGACACTTCTGTCCATTCTCTTACGGAAACTGAAAACGACTTAAATCATCCTGACTCTTAAAGTTATGACAAACCTGCATTTCTAAAGAAAGAGTGAGAGACACTAGTTCAGGCATTTTCAGCTGGCAAAGCAACCGAAGAGGTTTTCGTTTAAAAGTAATGCTGCTCAAGAGAATAGCTGTACTCTGAAAGCTTATTACTTGTAGATAGTAAAAAGAAGCGGTTATGTACTGGAATAGCATACTCAGAATGAAAATGGGTAAAATATCTGTATTAGATAACATTGGTTCAACTGCTTTTTTTTCCCCCTGTCATTGGTAAATGAATGCAAGTAGTATCTTCCGGTGTTTTTTTTCTCTAATTTTAGGAAATTTGTTATGGGAAAGAAATATAACTCCTTTTCTATTTGACCTATCAGTAGCATTTATCATACCTGGATGATTTGCTCCTTGAATCATTTCGTTAATTTGGCTCTTGACAACATCCAGTATTTTCCTGGTTTTCTTCTTGCATCACTCATTGCCCCTTCTCAGTCCTTCCAAGTTCTTTTCTGGGGTCCAATATCCTGACATTGGAGTGCCAATATTCTTTTTTGTGTGTATACTCATTTCCTGAGTGACCTAATTCTTGAATTGCATCCCTTCAAGTCCTACACATCAAAAACTCCCAAATACATATGTTTAGTTCTGAATTCTGGGTTCCTATAAATTCCTATTTCACTTGATTTTCTAACAAAGATTTCTGCTATTTTACAGTGTTTTCTACAGGACAACTGTTTATGAAAGTATAATACTCTTTGTTATAGGGAACATGTTCTGCCCCCAATTCGAAGATGTTGGTTTGGATGCGATTATGGGATTTCAAACTGTGAGGTAGTAAAGATCTGAGACTAGTTAGATGGAAACCAGTTTAATAAATTGGCCAGGGCAATATGCAAAAGGGATTATGTGGCATTCAGTAGGAGCTGGGTATTCAGAATTGACTATGACACAGTTGCTGCCTTTTTGGAGCCCCCAGTGTAGTAAAGGATGCAGGTATGTAAACCAGTATTTTCTTTTTAGGAAAATTTAAAAACAAATATTTATTTGTTTATTTATTTTTATATTCATTCTTTTTTTAATTATTTTAATTTAACCAGAGACAGAGAGAGGAAGTGAGAAATCCAACCAACAGGCTCGGGACTCCAACGTAGTTGACCATGTGGGAGTGTCCAGTGTCTTAACCAGCACACAATTTGCTAGTCCCAATAATTTTTTTATTTAATTTTATTTATTATTATTATTTTAAAATTTGACCAGAGAGAGGGAAAGTGAGAAAGCAAACCACCAGGTCCAGGATTCAAACTATATTAGGCCATGTTGGAGTCCAGCACCTTAACTGCTATGCCACCTGCCGGCCCCTATAAACTGATATTGACATCATAGTATTACCTGGCTAATAATAATCAAAGAGTTAATAATTCTGAGGCCGGCAGGTGGCGTGGTGGCTAAGAGCATTGGACTCCCACATGGCCAACTGTGGTTCGAGTTCCTGACCCGGTGGCTTGCTTTCTCACTTTCTCTCTCTCTCACTCTGTCTTTCTCTGGTCAAATTAAAATAAATAAATAAATAAATAAAATAAGGTTTAATAAAAGAATTCTTAAAAAAAGAGTTAATAATTCTCAGCTGATAGGATTTTACAAAGGAAGTACTGTCTGAGGACAAATTAATGTTTTTGTGAGACAGCTAAGGTAGAAGGTGGACCCACGTTTGCAATGTTGCAGGTAGGATTTGGATTGGCAATGAGTTAACATGAGGACACTTAACAGAATAAATGGAAAAATGGAATTAAGGTACTAGTTTATTTTGGTGTGAAGAATTTTAGAATCCATGTGTAGTTTTTTTCATGATATGCATTTTCCATGAGTTTTTTGAAGGCACCTCATACATATATGCTTCAAGTTCGTGATTTTTTTTTCCTTTTAAACTAAGGCATTTCACAAATTAGGTTATGTAAATTTCACATGAAAAACTAGAATTTATTAAATGTAATGATATTCATACTGAAGTGTTTAATACTGAAACATACTTATGCCTATAACTTTCTTTGACATTCACTAAAAAATATGGATCGATGAGTGTGTAAAGGACAAATAGTTACATCTATAGAAGATTAAGATATGCATAAAATAGATATAGTAAGATTAAGTATTAAAATGTTAATTATAGAATTTAAGTGGTACTTACTATACAATGCTTCCAACTTTTCTGTATTAGTTATTTTAAAAATTATTTATTCATTATTATTATTATTATTTTAAGTTTTGCTGTAAGGCATGGTGCTCACAAGAGAGAGACAGAGAGAGGGTAAGTGAGAAAGCAAGCCACCAGGGGACTTGAACTGTAGTTGACCATGTGGGAGCCCAGCACCTCACCCACCACACTGCCTGCTGACCTTCTGTATTAGTTGTTAAAGTAGTAATTTTCTGAGTTCAGGGACTATTCTATACATCTTTATATACCTGATATAACACAAAATGGTATGTTTCTCCCAACTGGTAAAGCAAAAAATGTCTATTTTGAAAGTTTTTTTTTTTTTTCTTCAATGTACAAAAGACAGAGACACAAAAAAAGCAACCCCAATAAGAGTCTGGCACTGCGATGCATTCTTCAGCCAGCCCCAGATTGTATGCCTATGCATGCTTAGTTTACTCAGATTTCTAGACATAAACCTGGAACTTCTCCATGTGTTTCAGCCTTGCAGAGTTGTATTTTACCTCTGTGTCACCATCTACCCCCCAAAAATGTCTTTTAACATTACCATTGTGGAAGCTGGAAGACTAAACTTGACTTAATGAACCTAATCTCTTGAACAGATTTAGTTGAACATAATTTTATACAAGCAAATCGTATTGGGAAAAGGATTGAAAATTGTGAAATACTGAACATATCAGAAATTTCAGCAGATACTATTTGATACTTATTGAAAAATTAATAATCAATTTTTTTTTCCAATTTATTTGCATTCATTTACTGTACATCATTACAGCATACAAAATGAGATTTTCCATCCAGAGTACACTGTATATTGTCTCAATCAAGCACATCAACAAACATGTTATTATTAGCAAATGATCTTCGATTTCTTGTTTTCTGTATGTTTTGCTTTTTCCCCCCATTCTTGGTTCCCTCTCTCTTACCCTCTGCCACCTCCTGTTCTCCTCCCACACTGTCTCTGTTATCTATTTCTATACCATTTTCCCCCCAACATTTTATTGAATCACCAAAGACCCTCATCAATCCAAATACCCTCCTAGCAAACATATGTGACACACACATTTCCATGAGCACAAGTCTAACTTTACACATCCTATAAATTAGCACCTAACTGGGGCTACATATCCTACTGCAGTCATTTAATAGATACATTTTGTTTTCCTGAAACTTTTTTTTGTAAGTCAATTTGCATTCCTTCCCTAGGCATCATCACAGCACACAAAATGCGATCTCCCATCCAGTACACGCTGCATAGTGACTCAGTCATGCACATTACAAAAAAAATAAATTTCCACTTCTAGTTGCTAGAATTAATTCCACCCCTCTTTCTGACCCTCTGTCCCTTCCCACCCTCCTCTCACACCACCTCTAGTGTCCAAAATTGTCCTCCATTCCCTTCCCACCCACATTGCATTGATCACACAATTTCCTACATAACCTGACTACTTTCAAAGGTGAGTTCCCTCGTTACTACTAAGAAAACCAGTTTTAACTTAAATCAAAGAACCGCCAAGGAACTTTGCTTAAAGCCCGGAAACAGGTTAGGATTCTGTTCAAATGGTAGGTGCATGAACCTATCAGTCTCATATACTTTTATCTTCTGTTCTGGTTCAATTTTCCTGATTAAATTCTGGGATATAGTATTCAACTCCAGACTTGTCCCTATGATTAAGTTAGCTACTTTCTCAGTTTTTGGACTCTTATTTCCATGTATCTGCGTTTAGTTTTCCTGATACAGCACATCCTTGAGAACTTCTTGGAGGTCTGGTCTGGTGCTGGTAAATTCTTTCAGGTTTTGTTTATCTGAGAATGTTCTTGTCTTTTCTTCCCACCTGAAAGATAATCTTGCCGGATACAGTATTCTTGGCTGAAACTGCTTCTCTCTTAACACTTGGAATATATTTTCCCATTCTCTCCTCGCTTTTATTGTTTCTGATGAGAGATCTGCTGTTAGCCTGATGGGATGTCCTTTGTAGGTAACTTGATGTTTTTCTCTTGCTAATCTTAGTATCTTGTCTTTGTCTGCAGTTTTGGTCAACCTGGCTATAATGTGTCTTGGAGAAGATCTTCTAGGGTTGATTCTATTTGGGGTCCGTTGTATTTCCTGGGACTGGATCTTTGAATGCCTCTCTAGGTTTGGAAAGTTTTCTTGCAGGATTTCCTGGAATAGATTATCAATGCCCTTATGGGTTTCCTCACCTTCTGGAATGCCAATTATCCGGATATTTGGACGTTTGATGGTATCCAGTACTTCTCGCATATTATTCTCAAATTTTTGTGCCATTTTCTCAGCCTTCATGGTGGATTTTTCTAGGCCAGCCATTTTCTCCTCTACATCTGAGATTCTATTTTCTGAATGATCTAGTCTGCTTTTAATGCTTTCCAGGGAGATTTTGACTTCTTGTATTATAGACTTCATCTCTAGCAGTTCGGTTTGAGTCTTTTGTAAAGTGTGTAATTCCACTTTTAGATCTTGCA